CAGGTTCCCTTTGCCATTTATAAAGGGGAGGGAAGTGACACCTACTTCAAATTATAGTATGACTACTTATGGGGCGGGGTAAAAGTGGTGGTGCTGGAATTGGAGATGCTGTCCCTGGCCACACACTCCTTGGTCAGGTGAGGGGACCAGATTAGTGTGGGGGCAATTAGAGGGGAGTGTACCAGCCAGCCCATGGCGGGTGTTGCCCTGCTCGGGATGGGTTGTCTTCGGCCCTCAGCTCGGGGCAAGCCATCACCGCCCTCTGCCCGGGGCAGGCTGTCCTTGGCCCTCGGCTCGGGCAAGCCGTCATGGCCCTCAGGATGAACTCCTTAGTCCCCAGATTGTGCCATCTGACCCCTGGGTAGGAAAAAAAAATGCCTAGGGTATCCAGAGAATTTTATCTAGGCTACTTTCTGCCACCCTCTCCCCCAGTAAACCTGAAAGCAACACCCCCAAAACCCCTCTATTTGTACCTCACAAGTTTGTTCTCTCTAGATTTGCTCCCTTTCCTGCAGGTAACCTTAACCCTGAGTTTTACTTCAGACCTGACCCTGAACCCAGTGCCAGTGACAAAATGGAAATACAACTGCCAGCTAAAGAAGCAAAGGAGGATGGAGCCTCTGGGTTCAACCAGCCATCCCCACTGGACCCACCTGGGAAAACACTTTGCAGTCCAGAGGGGAGCAATTGACAAGAAAATATCTTCTAACAGAACAAGAAGGCAAGCAGCCTTAACTCAAGATCACCAGTAAGATGATAAAGTGTCCTCCCTTTACCCCTTCACACCAACGCCCCTGTTCAGCATGAAGAAGCCAGAGAGTCGGCATCCAGTTCCCAAATCAGTAAGACAGTTGATTTAACTACCATTGGAAAATGCTTGTCATTTTCCTGTAGCATCTGGTCCCCATTGGATCACTTTCATTTCTTTCACCTGCTCCCCCACCAACCAATTTCTGCAGCTCTGCAACTGCACCCCTGCCCCTCCTCACCCTTCTGCCCCAACCCTCACCTCCTTGTACCCCCAATTTGTTTTTTTCCAATAAAAATTTTTACAAAAGAATCTCAATATCATATGCACACCCATGTTTATCGTGGCTTTGTTCACAGTAACAAGGAGTTGGATGAGGGAAGCCGAATATCAAATTTAATAATAGTAGACCAAATGCTGTATCGGGACATGAGGGAAGCTTAATACAAGCTGAAGTCACCTTGTGGCATTGGGGCATTCGCTAGGAGTCAACATTGTTCTTAGTTTGTGTCAAATGAATCCCTCCCTCTTGAGATTAGCATAAAGAGGAACTTGGCCTTATCTGTAAAAGACTTCACCATTATCCTTTGTTTTTGCTTTGTACTTCTTTGTGATTTTACTTTGCTTACCTTCCTTATGATTCTAAATAAATACTCAGAGAAGCATGGCTTGGGGCCTTCAGTCATTGGAACTGTTGGCCCCCTGTTTTTCACACTCTCTGTTCTATATCATTCCTGGTATTCTGTCTCATTATTAATAATTATAAAATTATTTCATTCTTTGGGACCCTTGGTCTGCAACAGTTGGAAACAACCTAAGTGCCCATCAACATGAATGGATAGAGAAGCTTGGTATATTCATACAAGGGAATACTATGCTGCACTGAAAAACAAGGAACTCATGCAATATTATTCAAAATGGTTGACTCTCAAGGACATTATGCTGAGTGAAATATCCCAGTCACAAAAGGACAAACACTGCAAAGTGCCACTGCTGTAGAATGGGACTGACATCAGGGTTAGGGTAAGAAAGAGAAAAACTGAATGAACTATGTACACTGCATTGAAACTGATGAGGGAGAGAACAGTTTAAAAGCAATATATTTTAGGGTATTATGATTATCACAAGAGTCCGGAATGAAGGTTGAAGAGTGGAGTATGCTCAGGGGTGGGGGGTGCAGGCGGGATTGTATACCAGTGAAGGAATTTTTCTTTTACTTTTCAAAGAGAAGAGCAAACTGAGGTGGTTGGGGAGAAAAGTACAACAGAGAATGAATGGAAATCCAAAATCTCTGTAAATGTTCATTGAAACTAATTTTTTTAAAAGGTGGGGGGAAAAGAAGAATCTCAGTCTCTTCACTGTCTATCATGATGCTGCCAATCAGCACAGTGATGAGAATCTTTGTTTTCTTGATATTGAGCTTTAATCTATATTAAAGCAGCAAGTGCTACAGGTCCTCTTCAGTTTCAGCAAGCAAGGTTGTATCATCTGAATAACATAGGTTGGTGATGAGTCTACCTCCAATCCTGATGCCACATTCCTCCTCATAGAACCCAACTCTGTTTCTTACTTTTAAATATTTTTGTTATTTGTAATACTTTTACTGTTTAAATGTTTCTAAACTTCATGCAAAGTATATTTGTGAGAACGAAAAAACAACTGAGACTATTTAAATGAAAAATTCTACTCTTGTTTATAAATCCTATGTGACAATGTGAAAATGTTTATTTGATTCAGTCATTTTAAAAAGGACCACTATTTTATATGCATACTCAAAATTAACAATAAAATAAATTATGCAAGGAAATTAAATCAATATAATAAAAGTATATGAATAGCAATTGGCTTTGGTGGTGAGCCTTCTTTCTACATATCTATATACTTATATAGGGAACTCTGGTGGAAGTCTATGGGAAGTTGTACTACTAAACCCCTCTGGCAATCTGAATTCAGCAGAAGCTCCAATAGAGATAAATGAGCAGTCTTCTACCATGTGATTTGCATCCTTGTGAAATCAATGGAGGATAAGCTCTGTGTCAGCTCCACCTGGAGGGTAATAAAAATTTATATATGTATACAGGAGCTTGAATTGCAAGTTGTCCTGCCAACCCAAAGGTCGCCAATCTCTAGCAGTTAAAATTTACCAGGAGCTCCTTGGAAGAAAGATAGGCAGTCTCCTCCTATTATGACTAACAGACAACCTCAGAAATTCTAAGTGGGAATCAGCAGTGAGTGAAAAAATGCAAATTTTCCTTAATATCCATGTATATAATGCGTGAGGGGGGAGTATTAATTTGGACAGTGATCTCAATGTATGGCCAATACTAAAGAAAGTTTTCCACTGAAGTTGGGTTAGACCAAATCTGAAGGACTACTCCATGCTACTGGCCTAGAGGTAAATAACTATGCTGCCAACTCAAAGGCACACAGTTTGAGTTCTTCAGCTACTCTGTGGGAGAAAGATGGGCAGTCTCCGCCTACATGACTTACTGCCTCTGGATACCTGATGCAGAGGCAACTATGAGTAGGTTCCAACTCGACAGTATATAATAATTCCCTGCCTGGTAGCCTCTGGCTGCTAAGCTAAATGTTAGCAATTTGCGCCCACCAGCTGTTTCCCACAGAAAGATGTGGCAGTCTGCTGCAGTAAGGTTTAGTCCTGGAAACCTTATTGGGCTTGGTCCTATAAAGTCTCTACGAGTCAGAACCAACTCTATAGCCATGGGGATTACAAAATTATCACAGATTTACCAAACTCTTCAATTCTGAAAACAATTCTCAGCTTTTCACATTCCTCGCCAGCCATTCCTCCATCCTGTTTTCAAGTGAGGTTGCTAACTAAGCGTAAAGTCAATATCTATAAAACATTACTCATCCTAGCAACTCCCTAACAACCCTTCGCAAACTTCAATTCTGTAAACAGCAACTATACAAAGAATTGAAAGAAAGAAACTAGAAACTGCTATGGGAATGAGGTGGTTGCCCTTTAATAGTTCTTTTTACAGAGAAAGTTAAAGCAACTACTTGAAACAATATAAAAGATTCTGTGACTTTTTTACGAAGCAGTTTGTTCATTTTGAGCCTTATAACTATGACCTGTGACAGTAGTGAAATTCAAAGAACACCACAACACAAAACTGAAACCTCAGGTATACAAGTCACACACATCAATGGCTAGAGCCTGGCTTTTTCCCTTTCCACAATATGCTTTTCTTAGGACATGATCAGTTGTGATAAAAAGCAGTATGCACGTATTTTTATTTTTAAAAAAGTATCAGTACAGCAGCCGCTTAAGTATAAAGGGAGACTAGCATATTTGGGGTAGAAATGCTTCTGTCTGTAGATGGCTAACATGATTTTTAGCTGACATTGGCTTCTACTCATAGTCAACCCCTGTACAAAAGAACTAAATGCTCTGTTGTGCTCTTGTGCCCCGCTTTCAATGACTGGCATGCTCGAGTTTACCGCGACCACTGTATATCTGAAGTACCTTCCAATCTAGAAGGCTCATCATTCAGTACTATACCGGACAATAGGAAGACTCAAAAAGATGGGACTGACACACTGAACAAGCTTGAGCATGGTGGAGATAGTAAAAATTGCGTAGAACAGGACAAAATTTCCATCTGCTGTTCATAAGGTCACAATGAATTGATTCAACATTCCACTATAGCCTTACGGTTCTCATGAGATAATTTGAGGGAGTGGAAAACTAGGTTTTCTTCCTAGAACTCTACTGAAGCCTATCCACCATGGGTGACCACGCTGATATTTAAAATACCAGTGACTCAGCTTCGAGTCTGATAGCAACATACAAGCCCTCCAGTATGAGAAAATGGCAAACAGATCGTGAACCTTTATGATTAGTACAGATCAACTCCACCAGCTCTTAAACATTTCTGAACCCAGCTAATCTGTCCTCTATGCTTGTCCCATGAGAATGAGGTGGATTCTGCTCTCTGGCCCATTGTAAGACCTCTGGCAAAGTCAAGTCACAGGGCATCAGTGTCTGTTTTATCCAATAGCAAGAGAAGTGTTGCTCTCTTCTCCATGGTGTGCTCTAATATGACATGACAGAAATTTTTAAATTATAGTTTTTTTAAAGCTTTAGATAATTTTTAGTATAGTATATAATGTAATCATTTTTAAAATTTCTCAATCATCATAAGACGTATTATTTTTACAAAAAATATATATTCCTATATTATTTTATATTTCTAATTATAAGATATTTAGCAACAAAATATCTTACCTATGTGTACAAAAACACAACGTCTCTGGGCCCACAAGTTTACAATCCATTCCAGTTGGTGATCGCCAGCTTACATATAATCGATTCTGTAAGCGCATAGGTAAAACTTTTTTTTTGTATTCTTCATATTCTTCAGGAGTAAAAAGTTTGCCTCCATCATCCTCACCAACAATTCTACAAAGAAAAGGGGGTGGAGGAGAAACAAACTTCTCTTAAACCTTGAGAATTTCTTTTTCCAGGTTAAAAATACTACAGTTGAAAATTGAACTTCACTTATAGGGATAAAGGAAAAGTTGCTTGGCCTTTTGTCTTTTACTTTAAGTGCACACGAACAGTCAAACAAATCTGCCAGGGAGGAATAAGGTACTCCTTAGAGGAAGAATGACAGGACGTCATCTGACCTACTTTGGGCATGTTATCAGGAGGGGCCAGTGCTTGGAAAAAGACATCATGTTGTTAAAGGTGGAGAGTCAGCAAAAGAGAGGATGATTCTCAAAACGATGAACTGGCATAGTGACTGAAACAACGGGCTCCAACATATCAGAGATGGTGAGGATGGCACAATATTGGGTAATGATCAGATCTGATGTTCACAGAGTCACTCTGAGTCGTAGTGGACTCAATGGCACCTAACAATAACAGCAGTCAAATCAGGGCACTCCAGTAGTGTAGTCCATACAGAGGTGCTCTTCCAACCCATAGGCAGGTAGTTAGTTGGGTACACTAGAGGGGCTCTGCAGGCGGAAGATGGGAAATCTCCTCCTCTGCTATTTACAACCTCTGAAAACCCACTGGAGGGTCATCTATGAGAGAGATCCAACTCAAAAGTACAAAACAATAGTGAATGATGGGCATATGAAAGATTATAAGACAGACCATGCACACATAACATCCACTTTACTGATAATCGTCTATCAATGGAATATAAATTCCAAGAATTATCAGGTATTTAGCTCAATATCTCCTTTGATTCTGAAGCATACATCCTCATTTTCTCATTCAGAGTTGAAATATAAACTTCTAAATGTTCTTTTTTTTTTTTCTTTTAAAAAGGAGCCAAAAAAATACTAATGCACTAGCAACACAACAAGTACAAGCCATGGACTTTGCAATTACTTGCTATGCATCAGAGAGTTGGACAAAAGCTAAGGATGATAGAGAAGGATCGATACCTTTGAGTTGCGGTGCTGGAGAAGACTGTTGAAAATACAGGTGGACTGCCAAGAGAACAAACAGGTCTGTTCTGGACAGGGTGAAACCAAGCTGCTCCCTGAAGGCAGGGATTTTAAAGTTGTGTCTCACATATTTAGAGCACATCGCCAGGAGAGACCAGTCCTTGGAGAAGATCAGGTTTGGAAGTATAGAGGGACAGTGCAGGAGAGAAAGACCCAGGAAGAGATGGATTGACCCAATGACTGGACAAGTGGGATTAAGTCTGTCTGAGATGATGAGATGATGAGATCAGCCCAGGATAGGGCAAGGTTCAGAGCTAATAATGTACCATAGGGTCACTACAAGTCGCAGGCAACTTGTCGGCACATAACAGCAACAACAAGAAGAAGCCAAACCCACAGGCAATAAATCAAACCTTGGCCAAGAGTTTAAATTAACAAGAGACCTAAACACAATCCAAACAATCCCTCATCTCCACACTTTCACAGAGAAGTTTTCCAGGTTATTTATTCTTGCAAAATAATTTCCCCCTAGGTCTTCCACTAAGCAGGAATGACATCCACTTCAGAAACAGCATGCCTCTGAAAACTCTATGAACTTAGAGAAACAATAGTTACAGAACAGGGTTCAAGTCTTTTGTTCATAGGGTCGCTACGAGTCGTGCTCAACTCCACAGCGTTTAATAACAGATCTTCAGCTAACATTTTCTAAACCAGGCAAGAGACTACACGTGGAGGCCCATAATCTACATTTCTAAATGCCCGGTTTATCAGTCATCATCAGAGTCCAGCAACTTGGAGACCTGGAGGCTAAAGGACCAATTGTACCCTGACTGAGGACTGAGTGGAAGCTGCCAGGAGTGCTAGCGTCACCTGGACCCACCTGAACCAGAGATCCTCATTCTCAAGCCTCGCTTTTCAGACTTTGAAACCGCTTTTCAGCAGTTCGAGGAACTTCCCAGAACTATGCCAGAGAAAGGTGTTTGTGCCAGGACACCTTCTGGATGATCTGCTGATCAACGTGGACCTGGTAGCAAATTTTGGTCAAATTTTCTTGCTAAGGCTCTATTTCCCGCTATCACACACATCCTCCCGCTCTCAGCCACACTGTCTGTTCCTCTTCAGTAATTCCCATCTGTCCAGTTTTCCAACTTTCAGAAACCTTTATGAGATCATAGAACACGTCACTGTAGGTGTATCGCCCTTTGTTGGGGCTCGGGGTTAGGGAAGAGAATCGCGTCCAAAGCCCATGGAGGAATTGCAGTCTTCCCTATTTCTGGAGAGGTTTCCCCAGAACCACTGAAACTACACTGTGTCCTTAAAACCGTCACCTCGGAGGTAGGAGCACGTTTGGAAGCCCATGATTCGTTCTAGTACTGAAATAACGCATGCACCCGGTACTTAATGTGCAATCTCCTCTGTGGCTATTTAGAAGAAACAATTAGACCTTTAGAGAGGTCGGACCTAGAGAATAGTTCCTACAATACGTAATCACAGAAAGAATGAACTTGAAATTGATCTAAGTCTCCTCCAAGAGTCCAGTAAAGGATTTTGGGAGCTCCGCTCCCCCAGCCCTCCCGTGACCCTGGTGAAGCTAGGCAACCTCGTCCTCTTGGCCCCCGAACTCAAGAAGCAGGCCCCAAGTCGCTGACCCCCGAGACTCACCGCCGGTATTCCAGGTATTCGTCCATGGCCTCCGCGCCGCCGGGAGGCAACGTCAACCGCTCCATGCCCCACCGGTGAAGTAAAGGTGCGGGCTTCTGGTGTCTGCAGAGCGCCCTGCGGGAGGGAGCAGTAGCCTGAGGAGCCGGAGCAATCAAAACAGCCCGCCACGCCCACTCCAGGTGAAGCCGCGTCCCTCCTGGTAGGGTCAGGCCTACTTCCATCCAGGCCTCCTCCCCCTCTGCTCAAAAAACGCCTACTCTGACAGAGACCACGCCCCCTTCTGGTCGAGCCAACCTTACTCCACCCCAGGCCTTGTCTCCTCCTTCCTTCCAGGTCCCGCCCACTACGTTCGAGGCTCTTCCTCTCACGGTAAGGCCACACCTACTCTACCCCAGGCTTTGAAGTCTAACACCTGAACGGTGCCTCCTCCTAGAGAGACCGCGGCCCCTTCCCGCACCGGCCTCGGGATTGGCCAGACGCTCGCCAATGCCGCTCTCTGTAAGCGCAGCCCCGCCTAACACTGACTGCCAGAACTTTGCAGCTCTTCTCCAGTCTTGTGACTCACTTTTCCTGAGTTGGCGAACCTCCACTTGTGAAGTAATGTCAACTCTGAATGCAATATGTTCCATCCATGTACTCAGAAGAAACGACTTCTTTGCACAGCGCTTCCACGGCATCCATCTCTTGAAATATAAATGTATTTGTGATTATTAGTTTGAGACCCACCTCCCCATAATTACAAGTCAGGTTAGCAAAAAGAACATTTCAAAAACTGCGCTGGAAAAAAAAAACTGCGCTGAGGAGAAAATGCCTTTGCATGCATAGTAAATAATGCACAAATAAAACAAAAGAATTGACGCCTTAGAGCTGTGGTGTTAGAGAAGGGCAATGAACACCTCTCTTGATGGCCAAAAGAACAAACAGATCTGTCTTGGAGAGGGAGGGTGCAGCCGGTGTGCTCTTTGCAGGCAAGAATGAAGAGACTTTGGGCATGTTGTTAGGAGGGACTATTCCTTGGATGCCGAGAAGGGTAGAGGGGCAAGGTGGATTGAAGCGGTGACTGCTGCAATGGGCTCTTGGGTGTCAAGAATTGTGAGGATGGCACAGGATGGAACAGGGTTCAGATCTTTTGTTCTTAGGGTCACTCTGAGTCGTACTCAACTCAAAAGCACCTAACAACAACAACAACAAGAAGGAAAGTGGCATCAAAATTGGAGGAAGATTCATAAACAACCTGTATTATGCAGATGACACAACCTTGCTTGCTGAAACTGAAGAGAATATATGGCGTTTGCTGTAGATGGTCAAGGACTGTACTCTTCAATATGGATTGAAGATCAACAAGAAAACAAAGATTCTCACCCTGGCCTATTGGCAGCTTAATGATGGACAAAGAAGAGATTGAGATCACTGGTAACTTCCACAATCAACACTCAAGGCTCCAGCAGCCAAGAAATCAAAAGAATTGCACTAGGAAAACCTGTTGTCAGAGGTCTCTCTAGAGCAACAATGGCAGCCTGGAGACTAAGGTCCACCTGATCCATGCCATGGTCTTCACAATCACTTGCTATGCATCAGAGAGTTGGACAATAACTAAGGATGTTAGAAGAAAGATTGTTGCCAATGAGTTGTGGTACTGGAGAAGCTTGTCCAACATACCATGGTCTGCCAGCAGAACAAAGAGGTCTGTCCTGGACAGTGAAACCAGATTGCTTCCTGGAGGCAAGGATTTTGAGGGATATTTAGTCTTGCATTTTAAAAGACAAAAAATTAAAAATAGTCCACTTTTGCTATCCTTTTTGTGGAGGAGGATATTTTTGCCCTGCTTCATAGGTCTGGTTTTAAATGAGTAATGACTATCTTCAAAAGTTCCCCCATAAAGCAGGGAAATTTTATTATAATTATTAGCACAACAAAAATTTCATTGTATCTTGGAAAATTTCTAAGCTTCTTGACCAAGCCCAATTTATTGGATCACGACTAGCACAACAAAATGTCAGGCTGACAAAAGAATTTTGATAATTTACTTGAGAAATGGGATTTTTATCTATTATGTGAAAGATGTTTGTTATTGTTAATGAAATCTTGACAAGTATTTTACAGTATTGAATTCCTTATATATATCTCCAAATTATTTTATTAATTATACAAATACTTAAATGGTTATAAGCATAACAATTTCAGTGCTTTGAGAAGAATAAAATCACCATTCTACATTATTTTCTAAAGAATCTCTTTTCTTATGTGGGAATTCCAAATATAATTAAATTAAAAGATTTTTACCTAGTAATTTTTATTTGTTTATATATTTAAGGAGGAGTTCTTGTGACCAGTTAAGGAGTTGTGCTGTCAAGCAAAAGGCAGGCCGTTCAAATTCACCAGCTGCTCCATAGGAAAAATGGGCAATCTCTTCCTCAGCCATACATACATAGCCTTTGAAAACCCAGTAAAATATCAGCTATGAATCAGTTCTGACTCAATGTCACATAACAACAACAATAACATAAAATTAAGAACTATAACCTTACTGCAGAAGCCAATAATAATTTTTTTATTATTTGTAACCTTAAATTGTAGCTGCAAACACCAGAATATACATATTTTAATTAGATATTTTCTTAACCAGATCTTTGGGAAAAGGGCATTGGTAGTACAGTGCACACAGCTGCTAATATAAAAGACAACTGGTCAAATCCACAAGGAAAGTTTAAAAACCCATTGCCATCAGTCAGAACTGAGTCAATGTTGACCATCTAGTAAGTTTCTGAGGCTGTAAATCACACAAGAGGATCTTTCTCTTACAGAGTAGCTGTGGATTCGAATTGCAAGAGGCACATGGCCTTTGGCTAAGAAGACAACTCTTCATAGACTTCACCACCAGAGCTCCCTGGCTCCAAGGAATGTTATGACGATCTGCTTCTGTAAAGACGTGGGGTTGTGGAACCCCTTTGGGCAAGTGTCATATGCTTTCATCTGTATAAATCTTTATTGACTCCACAACAATGGCACAATGTGTGTGTGTGTGCGCGCGCGCGCGCACCTGTCCAGTAAAATCCAAGAAGCAGTGATAAACTAGTAGAACCAAGGAGAACTTCATATTATGGTTTCACCATATTATTGCCATAAGAGAAAGATGGGCAATCTCCTCCTGTCCTCCTGAGCCATTATACTGCCACTGAAAACCCATTGGAGAGTCAGCTACAAGTTAGTTCCAACCCAACAGTACTGAACTACAACAACAGTATTTTAGACTTCAGAGACTCAGGCCTACTTGGGCAAATGGTTAATTCCAGGTCTACTGTAGGAAATGTACCAGCTGAACTTCGGATATCTATGCCAGAAGGCCAGATAGCTTTCAAAAACTAATGCTGTCCTATTGAATGTACATAGAAAGCAATAAAGGGCCCTACCTTAGGGAAAAAAATAATTTTGATATCATGACTCCAGACCACTGATAAGAACTCATTGAATATATAAAGTCATGAGTTCACAGTGATATTCAAACAAACAAAAAAAGAAAATGCAGAGAGAGAAAGAGAAATTAATACCACAAAGGTTGCTAGGTAACTTCTGACCTGCTCTAAAATTGGATAATTATTAGGGAATAATTAAAGATGTTTTTCTTATTTTTGATGTATGAAGCCTTCCACAAAGCAGAATCTCCACCAATAAATATAGAAGAAATGACAGAGTTATAAAATCATCTTCTTACAATGCTTAATTATTTCAAAATGAGTCAGGCACTAGTCAGCAGATGCTAAAATCATTAGGTGACACATGAAAGATGCTAGTGATTTGTCACTAGGGGAATGTAAATCAAAACCACAATGAGATAACACTTTACACCACTGAAGTCAGCCAAGTAATTGTGTTGGAGTCAGAAATGAATCATAGCTGACCCTCCAGTAGGTTTAGAATGGCTATCATTAAAGAACAGAAAATAAATGCTGACAGGATGTGAAGAAGTTGGAACCTTTATTTACAGCTTGAAAAGTGCAAAATTGTGCAACTACTTTGAAAATAGTTTGGAAGTTTCTCAAAACGATACACCTATCTCCACAAGTGTGTAAAGATGGCAGAACAGGCGCAAGAAGTCTGTGCTGCTTGTATGTCTGGGTAACATTTGTTGATCACCAGTTAGAGAAGCAGTTTTCAGATAACTTGTCACTGATCAAAAGCTTTCAGATAAGTGGATCATTGACAGTGGTGCTGTTTCTGACTGGAATGTGGGACGGTCACCAGATCCAAGAGCTGTAAGCCGCCTAGCAAATCACGACATTAAAACAGCTCAATATACAGCCAGGAGTGGATAAAACAGATGAATGGGACCTTCTAAGAAATAAATGCCTATGCACATCCAAAAACCTCTCCAACAGGGTTAAAAGGGAAGCCACAGATTGGGAAAAAATATTTAGTAATGACATGTCTGACAAGGGACTTATAGCTAGAATTTATAAAATACTGGAGAACCACAACAAGATAAAAGTAAATAACCCAGTTGAAAAATGGGCACAGGATAGGAACAGACACTTCACCAAAGAAGACATTCAGATGGCAAACAAACTCATAACGAAGTGTTCAAAATCCCTAGCTGTAAGAGAGATGAAAATCAAAACAACTGTGAGCTATCATCTCAATCTAGTAATAACAGCAAAATTTAACAGAACAGCAAACATCAAATGCTGGCGAGGTTGTGGAGAAATTGTAACACTTATTCACTGTTGGTGGGAGAGTAAAATGGTAACCACTATGGAAGGCTGTATGGCGCTTTCTCAAAAAGTTGCAAATAGAAATACCATCTGACCCAGCAATTCCATTACTTGGAATTTACCCTAAAGAAACCATAACTGCCACCGTATCAGATATATGCACACCCATGTTTATTGCAGCTTTTATCGCAATAGCAAAGAGCTGGAAACAACCCAAGTGCCCATCAAAAAATGAATGGATAGAGAAGCTCTAGTATATACACACAATGGAATACTATGCAGCATTGAAAAACAAGGAACTCGTGAAATATTATGCAAAATGGATGACCCTGAAGGACATTATACTGAGAGAAATATCTCAG